CTAGACATGAAAGTGGTCAGTGCGAACTTGTCATCCACACTTTCTACCTTTAGGCACTCCTGGTTGAAACGCTATACATAGCTTCGGAGGGACTCGTTCGGCCCCTGCTTGATGCTCAGAAGATGGTAGAAAGGCCTTCTATACGTCCTTGCTCCGATGAAATGTGATACGAACTGAATGGATAATTCCCTGAAGGAGAAAATTGATGCAGGTTACAGACGGTTGAACCAGGCTATTGCCGACCCTTTGAGGGAGATGGCGAATACCCTGTAGCGTATCAGATCAGGATAACCTTGAAGCTCCATCTGGTTTTTGTAAGAGTTCAGGTGGTCAGCTGGGTCTTTGGTTCCGTCGAATGCCTCTATCAACGGCGTTCAGAACTTCTGGGGAAGGGGGAAGTGGAGGACCTCGGGAGTGAATGACAATTCAGTCTACTGGACCAGGGTATCCATGGTATCAGGAGTCCTTCCTTTAACCACTTCTTTCATATTAGCCAGCTCTCGTTGGAGCTCACGGAGTTTTTGCTCCAAATGATGGTCCATGGCATCTGGCGGGTGATAGGGCATGTATTCTTGGCAAGTGGGTCCGGCCCTGCTGTGGGCCTCATCTTCATCGCGTTCACCAGGGTACCTCCTTTGATGATTTTCTCCAGAGTGGCTCTACTTGTGGAGCTTAGTGATTCCATTAGGTGGGGCTTGGCGCTCTTGAGGAGGGGCGTCTTGATCTGCCTGGGGTAGAGGAGGTTCTTGACGTGTTGGCGGGATCTAAGGAAGCCGATGTGTCTATATCCACTCCATCAGTTCCTAGTTCTGCCTCATTAGTTGAACTATTGTTCGGCAATAAGCCTCTAGTTCGTTGGGAAGAGGGAGGTTTGCCTCTGGAGGGTGATCCTCGACGTCTCCTTCTGGGACCGGAAAGTTCTCCTGTGGGTTCTGATGGACTTGGGGATTGGCTGGAGCTTTACTCATGTTCCGAGTAAAAACCATCAAATAAGCAAAAGATTAGAAAAGAAACGATGAAAACAGTTCCCACAGACGGCGCCAACTGATGATGTCTTAGAAATTATGGCCCAAGTCCGATTGTGGACAGGGAGTTAATGAGTTTTATTTAGGTGGCGAGAATTAAGAGATAGCCTAATCAGTAGGGGAGAGGCACAGGTGTTAAGTGGTTCATCCCCAGCCGGCGGACTGAGGTTATATTCACTGTAATGGAGTCTCTTACTCCTTGAGTTTGTATATTGATTCCTTTTTTTGAGGTAAGTAGCCTTACAGGCGCTGGACCATTACAGGAAGTTATACTCTAACTCATGCATTCTTCGGTGTTCGAACGCCCCGGAGGGGTTCCCATCGGTTCCTCTTATCTACTTGATGATTCTGTGGGGACCTTCCGTCCTTGTCCTGCAAGTAAAGCCCTGCCAGCTGGGGTTACTATACCCACTGTGCATGGGTCGTTACGCACCACCACTCCCCACAAGTAGGTGTGACTGTCATAGGTTTCAGAGATGATCCCTTTGTCCTTTTGGGATGCGTGGCGTGGTGGAATGCGTCTAAAGTTAGGGTTTTGATTTCTCCCTCTTTGACTATCTTTCGGCTAGGGCTGGACCGTCGATCCTTTTGGGCTTTGTTTCTTGATACGAGCTGGCTAGGTATGCTTCCTTTGGGCTAACAGGCGAAATAGAATGCTCTGGACTCATTGGGCTCCATGGCCATAGTGGCCCATACATAAAATTCTGTCCCAATCAATTACGAACTGAAATTAATACAAATTAAGTTATCATCAAACAAAACATAATGACAATATTGATCATAATTACTACAAAAACTCATATTAATAGAATGTGATTAACATTAAATTTTGTTGGTCTACTTTACTCTTAAAATAAAGAATAAATGCAATACTTATCTTATTATTACGAAATTCATATTGATAGAAATGCGGTAGTATAGTACATATCCAAGCTTTTCATTTTCCTTTTAAAATGCAACTTTAACCGTTAAAAGGCGGTAAATTTATTTTTATTAGTTGATAATCAAACAATGGATTTTTATATGTACTATAATGACACTTTGAGCATTATTTAGGATAAAATTTATTTTGATGTAACTTGAATAATAATATCAAACCCTTACCTTTCATCTTTTTCTATTTACCTTTTTAGTATCATCGTATCCTCTTATTAATAACACTATAGAATATGGTTGTTTTTACTTCTTTCATTTTTTGTTGAATAATGACAAATACTATGAATGTTTATTATTACACAGACCTGCTTACCACAACTAACTTAATTACTTATTTTGTTTCTACAGCCTAACGTTTTTGTAATTGTGAATGATTGTATGAACACTATAACTTAAAACCTTTTTCTTTAGGTTGGTATTTTCCAATTCAAAAATGTTTTTGTTTTTTTAGTTGCTATATATATATTCGCATCTCGTAACATATATATTTGTGCCATTACACTGATGTTGCAAATGTAATTCATCTAAATTATTAGTTTTCATGTCAAAATTTCTAAATTGTAGGAGTTAAAGATTCATATGAAAATAATTACTCAAAACTATAAGAGTTTATAGAAAAAGAAATAAAAATTTTTATTCTTTATGAAAATATTCTAATATAAATCATACGAATTGTAAAACGTTTACAACATCGTTGGATTCATAAGTATTTTATATGATGTTGTATTTACATGTGTTGGTATTGTGATTATTTCAAACAATTATACAAATAAAATTTTAAAAAAAACTACAATTTAAAATAATTCACGTGCAAAATACATGTGCATGATCTAGTGAATTAAAATGTATATCAACAACAAAAAATTAATTCAAATTAAGTTATTATCAAACTCAAGATATGCATAGTTAAAAAAACATTAATTACTATCTGCATGACTAAACAAATAATAGCTAACGAATTGAACTCTCATCAATAACTAAGATTGCTCGGGATTGAATAATCTACCAAATATTAATTAAGTGTGGAGGATATAGGGTGTTTAAGAAAAAAGAATGTGGGTTCCTTATAGTCATTTATTTCTTAAAACATGGATTGACAACAATTGAGGTGACGTCACTTATCAAATGTTTTGGAAGTAAAAATTGTGCTGAAAAATCCAAATGAACAGTTGCATTTATATGTAGATGGGGTTCTTTCTAACCCATCTGGGGAGTGGGTTAAAACTGTGCACAATGAGATTTCTTGCACCAAAGACTTGTATGTTTTACTTTTCAAAACATGAGATTAGATTGGATTGTCCAAAGGATATTAATGTAAACTTTTATTTTAAAATAAAAATTTCAAACCCTTGAAAATATAAATATCATTTAACAAAAATAGAATTGGTTATGAATAAACATTTTTCCAAACTAATACAATCGAGATTGGGTTGAATTCAAAAGTATGAAAAACTCCAAACCTATCACATCCTACTCGGCCATCCGAACATCATTTTCTAAGCAAAAAAATTTTCATTGCAGCGATAATACCATATCATTATTGTCACGTGGTATCACTAATTAATAGTATATAAACAAATAAAAAAATAGACCTTACACAAGCCAATAATTGCCTATTCATGTAAGCTAATAACTAGAGATGTCAGTGAATCGAAGCGGTGGGCGGGGAGTGTAGTCTTCATTCCCATATCTGTGTTAAAAAAACTCCATTCAACCTCAGTCTACCTCCGTTAATGGGTATAATTTTTATCTCCATCCTCGTAACGGGTAAATTTCTAATCCTCGTACCGTCCCCGCTTCCCCTGTACTCGCCTAAACCCAAGCCCAAGTCCAAACTTAAGCTCAAGCCCAAGTAGCATAATCCAAAATTTTAATTAAATTCAATATTTTAAATAATTCAACAACATTGTAAATAATCTAACACAACATAATGTAGAAAACAAAATATAATAGTCAAAACAATATAGTATTCTATTTAAAGTGTCATTGGATCACAAAAAGAGAAACGAAACTATTAGAGAGAAAAGGAGAAAAAGAAAATAAAATTGAACTAAGAAAACGATAGCACTACACTTGAAGTTTCCTAAAAAAAATTTTGTTATTACAATTCATATTATAGTCATAAAGTGTTAAAAGATAAAAATTTAAAATTTTATTAATTCAATAATTCTCCTAATTTCTTAGTTCACTATAGAAGAGAAACTCATCAACCTCCATTCACAATTTTTCTACCCACGATAAATACAAAACTATCTTACTCTCTCTTGTTTATTTTTAGAGCATGGTCAATATAAACTACTAACAGTTTCAATCAGTGAACACAAATAGAAAAAAAAATAATCAGAAAAAAAAGTTGATAAGATTATCACATAGTAATGCCACTTCTTAATTTGATTGTCATATTTTTAGATTAGTAGTTACAGTTCTAGATTGCCATATATATATAACGGGTAGTGAGGGCAGGGCGGGACGGGGGTAAGGGTAAGTCCATCTCCGCCTTTATCCCCGTACGTCCATCGTCCAATACGTATAATCCATCTCCGATCTAAACGAAACAAATTTAAATGAATATCCATTTTTTTCCTGTCTACTGCCATCCCTACTAATAACTACTCACCTTTCGTGGCATTGAATATTTTCTCTAGGTAAGGACAAAGTGGCTGTTTAAAGATGAAATCACTGGGGATGGTTGGGCTAAGTCCAAACTCCATGGGCTGGGTTCTACGCTCCAATTACCCCGCTTATAATGGGCTTGGATTCTCCTGACTGACCGCCTGGGCTCCATTTAGATGATGACTTTAAGGCCTTAATACGTTGTCGTTTTATCTAAACACCACCCCCTCCGTCGTCGTCTACTAACCGAGCCTACCAGTCCTGAACCTTACATTCAATTCAAACAACGTGCAACAACAGACGTCTTCAAATCTTTGTCTGTCTGTCTCTGTCTCTCCTGAGGCTCGTCAGATCAGTCACGCGCAAAAAGGTTCCTTCTTTGGCTTTAATTAGATTCTGATTTATCATCTTTTATGTGTCGGTGATAGATATTTCTCTTGACATTTTGTTTCGATTTCAATATATTGCTCTTCTTCTCTTTATCTAACATCAAGTCACTACTCTCTGATCTAATCTGTATTGAAATCCCACTAAATTTACTGTTTCCATCCCCGGAATTACCAGATTTTTCTCTTCCTATTTCACTTGGTGAAGAATCCAAAGGTTACTGCCTTTTTTTTTCTCATCATTCTGTCACAATTTTAGCATCTCTGCTTGTTTCATTCTTGATTTCAGTTCAGTCCTTTAAATCTGTTGATTTAGTAGCAATCTGGCTATCCAAAACCCAAAGCTTACTAACTCTGAAAACCCAAAAGCAAAACAATGGCTTCTATTAGATTAGATGCATCGAAGCAACACTATGCAACAAGCAGTCTTGTAGTGGGCTATGCTCTGTGTTCGAGCTTGTTAGCAGTGATAAACAAGTTTGCCATCACCAAATTCAACTATCCTGGTCTTCTCACTGCACTACAGTACCTGACTTCAGCTCTAGGGGTTTGGGTTTTGGGTAAATTAGGGTGTTTACACCATGATCCTTTCACATTTGAAACCGCCAAGAAATTCATGCCTGCTGCCTTTGTTTTTTACCTGGCAATCTTCACAAACACAAATATTTTGCGTCACGCCAATGTGGATACGTTTATAGTATTTAGATCATTGACACCTTTGTTGGTTGCCATTGCTGATACTACTTTTAGAAAGCAACCCTGTCCGTCCAAGTTTACTTTTTTGTCATTGTTGATTATTTTGGGTGGGGCTATTGGTTATGTTGCTACTGATTCGGGGTTTACATTGACTGCATATTCTTGGGCATTTGCTTATTTGGTGACAATTACGACTGAGATGGTTTATATCAAGCATATGGTGACCAATCTTGGATTGAATACTTGGGGTTTTGTCTATTACAACAATTTGTTGTCGTTGATGGTGGCTCCGTTGTTCTGGATTATTACGGGGGAATATGCTGATGTGTTTATTGCTATGAGATCAGATTCTGGGAAGTTGTTTAACCTTGTTGTGTTCATGGCAGTGTCATTGTCTTGTGTGTTTGGGCTGCTTATAAGTTTCTTTGGGTTTGCGGCGAGGAAAGCAATATCTGCCACTGCATTTACGGTGACTGGTGTGGTTAATAAATTTCTGACCGTGTCAATCAATGTGTTGATTTGGGATAAGCATGCTAGTCCCTTTGGTTTGGTTTGTCTTCTCCTAACCATTGCGGGAGGTGTTCTTTATCAGCAGTCTGTTACAGGAGGTGGCAATCCCTCTCCACAGCGTGACACAGTGGCTAAGCAGTTGGACAGTAAAAATGATGCTAATTACTATGCAGATGAGGATGAAGAAAAGAGCATATCTGGTAAAATTTCTGTTGTATGAGCATTTTTACTTGCTTTGGCCTTGCGAAGAGGGGGTACTTATTTGAAGTTTTATGTCTAATTGTTAGTGGCTTGTATATCTTTCTTGTATCAAATCATTGGAATATTTTGCTTTCCAGAATTTTGATTTGAATGTTCTCTTTGGTTGACCTTTTTTCACAATTGATGAATGTTTGTGCTTTGGTTCTCATGGGTGACTCACTGATCTAGTTTAGTACGTTGCTTTCTTGAAGTAGTGGATGGGTCTTTTGGCAATGGACTTTCTAAAAGGAAGGAATATGATTCACCCTAGTTGACTTTCTTCCAAATCTTAGATTCTGTTACTTTGTTGTCAATCATATTCGGTTTTACCATTTGGTTCCAGCAGCAGGTGAGTTTAGGGTGGGGTTGAGTCATTTTTTTTTTTTTTGGGGGGGGGGCGCAGTGGGAGGGGAGAGAAATACAAGGGGGAGATTGATGGGGTGAGGTGGGGGGTTGGTTTAGTGACAGATTGGATTTTTTCTGTTTTTATGCTCACAAATTTTAGGCACTCTGTACAGATATTTGTTGTTCAAGCTATTTCTCACTTCTATTCATGTTTAGAACTAAGTTGCCATGCAAAATATGAGTTGCAATTAGAGCAGATTGGACGGAATGAGAGGTTAGTTCAGACTCAACTGTTGTTATAAAACTCTCAACTCAATCATTATCCAAACTCAAATTTTAACATGAACCCTTCAACCCAAAAAAGTCGTGTTAGTTCAATTCTTGGGTTCGGTTTTCGGATGAAATTCAAGTTCAATTCTAGAATTACCGAATTTGGGCCGGCGAAAATCAACATCCTCAATTCTGACTGTTGCCCAAATTTAAATTGAATTGGATTTTTTTATTCAATTCCACCTCAAATATTAATTTAAGTTGAGTTCAAATTGAGTCACCCAAATATTTGTAACCCAGTAATCTTCTCCCTAAATGCAAATAATCCCAATCCAATAGAATTGAAAAGAATCTTATCAAGCAGCCGCCCCGCCCTTTTCATCTTCTCCAATTAATATGCTGATTATATCTCGCACGCTTCACCATGCTTATGCTCACAAAAACCAAACCACATAGTATATGATTATGACCTTTTTTTAATTCATTATTATACACAAATAATACACCATGTACCAATCAAAAATGTCAACTTTCTTGCAAAAAACCAAATTCCGATCATCTCCACCATTCATTTCTCCGATCATCGCGACAAACCTACGTTGGATGCTCCGTTGGTACATTTGTCTTCTACGCGCTGACGTTGATTTAATATTTATATATGGTTGAATGACACTTTGATCCCAAACAAATTCTAAACTTTTATTTTCCACCTCAAAGATTGATGAATGTTTCAGATCACATCCTGAATTTTTCGAAATAGTAGTCGGCCCCAAGTAGTCAACGATATCAAATTTGATAAACATCCTACGTGCCACGCTCGTTATCTAAAGACAGTTAGTTTTTATGGGCAAAGAGTAGAAGTTTTGAAATATTTTTGTCACTAAAGTGATGATATGATATCTAAAGACAATTGATATGATATGATTTCTATAACTAAAAAGAGACAATCCAGAAAGTCAATGCAGTTTTTCCTCGATAGATAGGCGTAGTTCAGCTCACGAAGAAGATGAAGAGTTGCTCTCGCTGTCTCATCCTTTTAGTTCTTTGATCAAATTGCTATCATTTAGACAAATTCAAAGTATATTGTGAAACTTTTAATCTTTTAAGTGGTAAAAGTAAAATTTGAAAATATTTCAAGGTACAAAGTGATATTAGCCCTTTTTTTATAACACTTCACTAATTATATATTAGCTTTCTGATTAAATAAATTCATATAAGCCAAATGGACCATCACCATATAATGGTATTGCTGCACAATTGGCTGATTACAAAAACTTGTACCTTTGGCCTCTCCTCCGCATGGAAAGTCGCCGGAACTCAACGACAAGCACTATCGGCTTCTCTCTCCTTCCATCGGAGCTCATACAGTACATAATCCTCCGGTTAGCTTTACCCGAGATTTTTCGATTAATTTCCGTTAATAAATCCATCGCGTCCATCATTAAAGACCGAGACTTTGTACGCGATTATAACCGCCAATCGAGCTCTGCTACGTGTCTTTTCATTTACAAGAAGAGATGGCATCGTGATGCTATTCTTCATGGCTTCACTGATTGTTCTAAAGGATGGTTTAGAATTCTGATTGCTGAATTGTTGAAGTTAATTGTTCCTCCGGGTGAAGATCTCTATTTTTTGACAGCATCAGGTAATTTTTTCCTATTTGCCTTGAACACTAGCCAGGAAGTTATTTCAGTTAATCCCATGACCAAGACAGTTAAAAAGATTCCTCCAAGTCCATTGGGTCCACGTGGCACGTCTTTGTGGCGACGTTCGGGTTTGAAATTATTATCTGACCCTTCCGGGTCTGATCATTTTCGATTTTTATTCACTGAATTACATGAAAATTATCCAATTTTATTCGAGTACGACTCGAAAACTAACAAGTGGCAATCCAAGGAAGCAAGAGAAACTGTTGGGGATTTGCCAAGTGGCAGTACAAGAGGGAGTGATTATATTTTCCTCAGTGCTTTTAATGGGCATAGTGAGAGTGTTATTGTTGCCGTTGGATCTCAACATGATGCACCGGTGGTTGTACGGCCAAGATTTAACAGAGGGAATGAGGAGGGGCGATTGGCCATTGGATTTAGCGGGGGAGTGCAATCAATTGGTTGCATGTGTACGGTGACGGGAACATGATGATCGTTCGATCGGACAGTGTCGATGGCTCGAATAGAAGAGTGAGAATTTTGAAAGGCGTGGAGTTACGGGGGTTGAATCCGAATGGTAAACATTGGGAATTCATTTCAGAGTTACCAAGTGGGTTACTAGAGCAGATTAAGAAGCCCTATGGGGCTATGATGGGGTGTATAGAGCAAAGAGAAGGAATAATAAGGGGTGTTTTGGTGTCTAATTTAGAGGGTGTTTGGGACGTTATCTGGCTATGCTATGATAAAGAGAGGAGCCATTGGACTTGGGTTCCACTGCCAGATTGCAAAATGAAGGGTTCAAACATGGCTGGGATAGCCATCTCTTCTGGCCTCACCTTGTCCTAATAAGACGATCATGATTATTAATTGCTGTAAAGTGATAATAATGTGTAAGTTAATCTGCACATCCTTGACCGTTAAACAAAAGAAAATTATGTATACCAAGTTGTTTTATGAGTTCAAAAAACATTGGATTTTTTTTTTTTGGATAATGCAATGGGTTTAGCCATAGTTTAAAAAACCCAAAAAAAAAAAAAATGCACTCACCATAAAATGATTCCATTATGATCTAGAGATATCACACATTTGAGTCATATAAATAATCCATCTGCATATTGGATAAGACTCGTATGTTGGGCTGCCCTACACAAGACATATTGAATAAAACAAGACTTTTAAAAGGAAACGCAGAGACTAATGCTATTGGAGCACTAGATATTTGGATATTTGGTTGGGCCAACGTTAAAGGTTGAAAGTATGCGTGGTTGCTCAATATAAATGATATACCGTACCACAGAGGGTCATCTGCCCAAGTAGATGGCTGTTTTATAATAGAAAAATTTGCGGGCCGGTTCATATTTTACAAGGATATAACTTTATTTAGAATTGGTTTTAAGTACATTTTTGATTCAATTGTCCAACTATCCCCCCAACCTCCTTTTTTTTCACCAGAGTTGACGAGCCCAAAATTAATTGGGCCAGACCCAATAAATCAAGAAGGCCTACGTCAATTAAAGGACGGTCCGAACCTACTTTGTCAATCTGACCCAATTCAGAATCCAAGAAACTTGGAGAGATAAGAGCACGTGGGAGAAACTATCAGGATACGCACTCATGGAAATTCAATCCTATCTTTATTGTACTTACCAAAAAAATAGTGTTATCTCCCTCACATCACCGTCTTACTATACTTATATAATGTAAGCTCTCTTCACATAGAAGGCATGACCTTGAGGTCCTTACATTTTGAGATCTCTACACACACTACACATCTCTACATACATTGCTTCTCTCTCCTCACCATTGTAATACTCACGGAGTATACTCTCTCGGAGACTTTACTCATCAATAAAACATCCTCAGCCACCGTTGCTATTTCCGAGAGTGAAGTAGGTCACGCAGACCGAACCACTATAAATCTTGGTGTTGACTCTATATTTACCGTTTTGTCATTAATTAACTATTTACTATTCATTAATTGTATCTCTTGATATATTCGATTGTTGATCTTACATAATACCAATTTATGCATCTTCAAGAGTCACCAATTTGAAGTGCACAAATTCGACACTTACAAACCGACCTATGAAAATCATGATTCCACCATTAACGGATTGATCTTCGCACCTAAAAACTCTACATTCGAATTTTGAAAATAAAAATTGAAAATTGATTTTTACCGAAAATCGATGTAAAAAATAATAACATTTAAAACAAAAAAGAGTAATATTTAAAACCAAAAACAATAATAAGTGGTACAATTCAATGCAGGAGTTGCACAATTTGAGAATGCCACTCAATTACCATATTTTCTGAAACCCTCTTCACATTTGCTCCAAATTTATCAGATTAAGAAAAGGGTGGCGCTATTATCAGCCCTCTTAAATTATTTTTCCACCCTATTTAATCATTTTATTTTAAACTATTAAGTTGATCTCATTCATACACACCCTATTAGTTATTAAACCCACCTAATCTATATATTCACTAATTAAAAATTAAATTCATCCAATTTTATTTCAATCGACTATGTAGACAATGATCAAAATTTTGTTTCGATTTATTATTTCGGTACGAAAATATTTTAGAAGTAAAATAAAAATTAATTACAATAAAATAGTTATTTTTAAAATATTAGTCAAAATATATCAAAAATATCTTAAAACACCTCAAAATATTTCAAAGACATTGGTAAAAATATGTCAAAATATCTCATAACACCTCGAAATATTATTGATCACCTCGGAATATTGAAATTTCACTTCAATTATTATTTTTTATTTTGGTTTCTTTGACATTTATATTTAATAATTTAATTGAATGAGTATAAATGAGGTGAACTTAGTAATTAATAGAGTGGATATAGACCAAGTTAATTTAATAGTTTAAAGTAAGATAATTAAATGGGATGAGAAATAAGATTTAAAGAGTGAAAATAGACAAAAAAACACACAATCTTCGCCTAGAATTTTCGGACACATGTTATGACTAATCTATATAATAAAGTAGAACGAAATTTGAATCCAAAAGACAAAGAGAGGTCCAGATCGTTTTGAGACAAAATATAAACACATCAAAGAGACAATATAATCTCAACATAAAAGACGGTTTAGATCATCTCGTAAATAGTGATCTGACGGTTTATAATGAGTACTGAATTTTGTTTTCCCGCCAAACCAAACGTAATCTTAATTGAATTGAATTTTTTTTTCCTGTTCAAAAATTTAAGTCTTTCATCTCATATATAACTCTAGACTTCTATTGTTCATGTACCTCTCTCTCTCTCACACACTCATACAATGTCTCTCTCTCCCTCCCTCAGTCTCCTCTCTCAGTCACGCCTCTTTTTTTTTTTCTCTCTCTACTCAAAAATACACACAGAATACAAATTTTCAACACACAACGATAAGATATTTGAATAATTTCAGATTCTACTGTGTTCACTTCTACTTCTTGGAGTCACTAAGGTCAGGTTTGTGTTTTCTTCTGTTATTGCATTTTGAATTTCAGTATGCTTCTTATTTTTTTTACATACTTTCTTTCACTTCTTATTCTCTCTCTCTCTTTTACGCTCGCCGACAACACCACCATCGGCCCGGCAAGATCACCACTACCACACACCCCACCACCATCATACCCCTAGGTATTCCTCTTCTATGCCTCTCTCTCTCACACACACACATTTTGAACGAACCCCTCCCCCCACCAGTTATCCCCCTCTCGCTCCTCTGCTTTTTTGTCCCACACAAAAAAAATGGGCTTGATGAGTGAGACCTCACATTGATTCTAATACCTTTGTCTGCTTTGATTGGAATTGGGTTTGCTTTGTTTAAGTGGTTTTTGGTCTCCAAGGTGAGGGTTTCAAGAGGTTTGGACAATGGCTTCAAAGATAGGTTGATTGAAGAAGATGAACAAGAGGATGGTATTGACACTAATGAGGCAATCGCCAAATGTGCTGAAATTCTGAATGTCATTTCTGTTGGTGAGCTCTCTCTCTTTCTCTTTCACACTCTCAACGAATCCCCCACCTAGCTCTCTCCTTTTCCCTCCTTTGTTTCTCTCTCTCACACACACGCAACCCACCCCCTTCTTCCCCCTCTACCAAGACCACCGCTTCTTTCATACATACACACAAAAAATGCAGCTTCCGCAAAATGTCAAAGAGAAGAAAAATAGCCCTGCATTCTAGGCTGTCGACGAATTGTCAGAGCGAAAGAAGAAGTCCATGGGTGCCTTTTTTGAATTTTAATTTTTTTTGCTTCCTTTTTTTTTGGCCTATAAATTGGGTCCTTTTTAATTGCAATTGCCTTATGGTCTCATTGACTTAGTTTAATTTTCATACAAAATTCCATGTCTAGAATATGATTCATTCGTTTAATTGTTTTTCATATTGGTGTGTACATTTCCTCGCCTCCCATTCCCACACCCCCTCCCCCTGGGAAAAAAAAAATGGTGATGCGGTTCTGTAATCCGTCTCTGTACTTTGATCCTCAAAAGAAACCATAATAGCCTACATTTTCTATGCAGACAATTTGCAACACCAGAGCAGAAGCACAGTAGAGGTTGCTTTCTGTGAAAACAAAGGCAATAGCGTCCAGGTGCCGTTGATCTGTAACATAGTAAAGAAGTTCATATGAACTCCCCTGATCAATTTGTCATCAAGTTTATTACATTTCTTCTCCAAAATACTAGGATTGCAAAGTAAATATGTGGACATATTTTTCGGTTGTCTTGGTCTCAAAATGTGGACAATGTAAGACTGGTAGTATGGTCCAAGACTCGGGTTTGATTCAGAAGAACGATGAAACTTGCACATTTTTTGCCTCTCACTTTTTTTTTTGGCTTGATAAATTCCTATCAGTGTTATTACAGTAACTGTAATGTATGTCACTGAAGAAATTAGAGATTGTGAGAACCATTACAAACAAAATACATGGCTTAGTACAACCACAATGTCAAAACTTTGGATTCTCCAAAAAAACAAAAAAAAATTATTTTTCATATTATCAATTGTATTTGTACAAGTGGCTCTTTGTTTATGCTTCTAGAGAATTTGTGTTTATGTGATATGAGTATGCTTTGTTTTTGTCATCCTTAGGAATTACAATAGTTTTGGTGCATGACTAGATAGTAAGTTTTGAATTAATTTCTACAATAGTTGTACCTTACTTTGATTATTCTTTTTTGATATCTTATTGATTTAGCTTTGATCCGCTAGCTTGATGCTTTTCTACTTATATTTTTATCTCTTTTCTTTTGGTATCTTTTTTTATTATAAAATAAGACTCTTATCATTAATAGAACTAACTTTTATGTTGAAAATTGAAACTGCAAGTTGCCAATTTTTTGCACAAGATCTCAAAACTAAGGAAAATTCTTGGAGGTGTTTTTTTATACTGCATTGTGTTGATTTTTTTTTTTGACGCTTCTCCATAAAATTGTGAGTTCTGTATAAGATTATAAGCTAAAATTCGTGTTGGGTTCTTTTCGTTTGAACAGGTAATTAGATTGGTAGAGAAAATGATTGAGTACTATAGTGTGGATTTGTTGTAACCAATAGCTTATTCATATTTACAATGTGATTTGAAGGAATTTTATTTGTTTGTTATTCTAATATTTGAATGCATAATGTTTTTTTTATATACCCATTAATATCTTTGCCTCTATGTAAATGGGTTACGGTTACTTTCATGTATTTGTTTGATTTCTCATATTGATGAGTTACATTTGTTCCGTAAATTTGTACAAATGATGCCACCAACTAGTTCTTTCTTTTTATATTTTTTGATTTGCAATTTTTTACATTATAGTACCGTTGTCTTAAAGATTTAGGTTAAATTTTCATCTTAGTATTTATTTATATTCAATACTTAATTGCGCTTAATTTTTGATTTTTTAAAATTATAAATGTCTTCGGCACGGGTTATTGCTGGCCACAGATTATTACTAGTTATATTATAAATTTGGTAGGAAATAACAAAGTCAAATTGAAATCGAGAGAATCCATATGACAAACTTTGGACCCAGCTGGACACAATGAGTTCCAACACTTCCACCCACATGAGGAGAGGTGAGGTGAGATTGTCCCAGAACTCCATTTACGCTGCTCGCTCTATTAGTCGGGGACAATCATGATAATTCCTAGACAGACTGCATGAGAAAACTAACTTCTATCGCTTCAAGGTCTGTACAGCTCGTTAACGCCGACATCCTCTCTTATTCTCAACAGTTTCTCTTCTCAGTTATCACACCAAACTATCATTCCCTAACCTCAAATGGAGAAACTACCAAACAACAACGTCTCATTCAACTACTTCAAGAACCCTCAATGGTTCAATCACTTGAAACGGCTAATTCCCTCCACGCTCTTACCATTACAATGGGCTCAAACACAACCCAAACCATATTTCTGTACAATAATATCATGTCAAAGTATATTGCATTGGGCGCTATCCCTATGGCTCACAAAATATTTGATGAAATGCCCCAAAGAAATGTTGTCTCCTACAATACTATGATTACTGCGTATTGTCGGAATGGGGAAGTAGAAAAAGCTTGGTGTCTGTTTTTTGAGATGAGATATTATGGGTTTGAGCAGACACAGTTCACGTTTGGTGGGCTGTTGTCGTGTTCTTCTTTGGAAATTTGTAGAGGTTCATACGTGCAGGCATTGATAATAAAGAGTGGGTTGCTTTGTAGTGATGCTTTTGCAGGAACTGCATTGCTGGTTTTGTTTGGGAGGCATGGGTTTTTAGAAGAAGCAATTCGTGTATTTGATGACATGCCTGAAAAGACCTTGGTGACATGGAATTCGTTGATAGCCTTGTTTGGGCAACATGGGTTTGTTGAAGAATCTGTTATTCTGTTCCGCGAGCTAATGAGTAATAACTTAGGTTTATCTGAATATTCTTTTGTTGGCGCTTTATCAGGATTTCTGTCCGAACACGATATTCAATTAGGAGAACAAATACATGGGTTAGCGACAAAAATTGGATTCTGTTATGCAGTTTCAGTTGTTAATTCTTTGATAAATATGTATATGAAGTGCTCAGGAACAAACATGGCAGAGAAACTGTTTGAAGAGGCGCCTGTGAGGGACGTTGTTTCATGGAACACAATCATGGGAGCGTTGGCAAAAAGTGAGACACCAGGAAAAGCATTACAACTCTTCTCAAAGATTTATGTGAATGGTGTCTTGCCTAATGAGACCACATTCGTGAGTGTTATTAATTCCTGTGCCAGTTTGGAGGTCCCAATGTATGCAGAATGTATCCATGCTAAAATCATCAAGAACATGTTTGAATCTAACGCATTTGTCGGTACTGCATTGGTTGATTTTTATGCTAAATTTGACAACATGGAAGATGCTCATCGCTGTTTTAACGAATTATATGAGAAGAATTTGGTTTCATGGAATGCTTTGATACAGGGTTATTCAAACAGAGGCTGTTCTACTGCTGTTTCACTAGTGCGAGAAATGATTCAATCAGGTTATCGTCCGAACGAGTATTCATTTTCTTCTGTCTTCAAAGCATCCTTGGCCTTATTAGAGTTGCAACAGCTTCATTCCATGGTAATTAAAATAGGTTACATCGACAATGATTATGTATCAAGCTCTCTGATATCCTCATACGCTAAAAATGGTTTGATATCTGATGCCTTGATCTCTGTTGCTGCTGGTTCTAACACGCCACTTTCGGTTGTCCCATCTAATGTTATTGCTGGGATATATAACAGAGCTGGCCAATACCATAAAACTCAAGACTTGTTCTCTCTTCTCGAAGAACCTGATATTGTGTCTTGGAACATTTTGATTGCAGCTTGTTCTCGCAATGGTGATTACAAAGAGGTATTTGAACTTTTCCACCACATGCAGGTAGCTCAAGTCCATCCTGATAATTACACTTACGTTAGCCTCTTAAGTGTTTGCACTAAACTTTGTAACCTTGCTTTGGGTAGTTCTATTCATGGCCTTATCATAAAGACTGATTTTGAGTGTTGTGACACATTTGTCTGCAATGTGATGATAGACATGTACAGCAAATGTGGTAACCTAGAGAATTCAGTGACAATCTTCAATGAAATGGCGGAGAAAAATGTTATCTCATGGACTGCACTTGTTTCGGCCCTTGGGCTCCATGGCCGTGCACACGAGGCATTAAAAAGGTTCAAGGAAATGGAGATTGAGGGGTTTGAGCCAGATGGTGTCGCTTTCATCTCTGTGCTTTCAGCATGCAGGCACGTTGGATTAGTGACACAAGGGATGGAATTGTTTTGGCAAATGAAATGGAAGTACGGGGTCGAACCTCAGATGGATCACTATCTTGTTGCAGTGGACTTATTAACTAGATACGGCCATCTCAAGGAAGCCGAGCAACTAATTGGTGGCATGCCTTTCCCGCCAGATGCAGTTGTGTGGCGTACTTTCCTTGAAGGCTGCAAGAGACGAAGAACGGTATAGAGTCCCAACTGTTCTTTCCTTTGCTTGTAAATTGTATATATGTGCTGCTGATATTCTTCCTGTTATAAAGATCACAGTTTTTACCAGAATCAATGATTTTCTGTGGGAGTGATTGAGAATCTAAAATTTGAATTATCATCTTGTTCATTTCAAGTTTTTTTTTTTTTATTATTCTTATTATTTTGATGAGGAAGAGGCATGGGGCCTTGGATGCGTTTGTCAGATTGCTTTAAGAGTTGAGATCGTAATAAGTTCTGTTATAAATTGAGGGAATGTACAAATCAGACCAGTTGATGCAATACATTGTGTCTTTTTTGACAAAATTCATTCTGATCTATTTCTGACAACTCACCTCTTAAATTTGCAATGTTGGTTGATTGGTTTTGTTGAATTTTGTTGACAAGGAAGATACAGGAGGCGTTGCATTCATTGTTGGCTCATTACATTCCCCACTATTTCTCCCAAAAATTTGGCATCATGTTGGAGGGTTCTTCAATCTTTATCTCCCAGGACTTGCCCAAGTGCCTGTGAGCAAGAGAGAGAGTGGATTTACAATGCATTTTGTCCAATGACGGGTTCAGGTTGGAATGTTTTTGCTTTCTAGCTGTGTCAAATGCATTTGTCAGCAAGTTGCAAACCATCGACGACAACTAGTAGCATGGTGATGTCCCTCCCTACTTTGTGCATCTAAATTAGATGATGAATCTTTAGGAATTTTCAACATGCATGTACGTGAATATAAATTAAATTGAATACTCTCCATTATAATTAAACAGGCCCTAAAAAATTTACATTTTAGCAGGGAGATTTGAACCTTCTACGATTAGAATCATTTCTAACCACTGTTGGATATGTAGATGATTCAGCTAAACCTTTGTTATATAAGTTGGTGCAGAAATGGGGACCAAAAGCAGTTCCAACCATGGCCGGCTCAACAATAGAGCCGAAAAAGTATGGGTTTTGGGCTCACACATAAAAAATGCCCCAAATTTTAAAATTCAATAATTAAATATAGATCAAAAATTAAGATTTATTATAATTTAGCTTAACAAAAAACTTTTGAAATATTAAGTCAACAAAATACAATTTAGAATTTAGGTCAACAAAATATATATAATATATTTATTATATATTAAATGCATAAATTACTAAAAAAAATAATTATGCGACACTACGTTGCAACATTAAATATCTTTACTATGATAGTACTTTGTAACGGTCTATACATTATTTTTGACAAATAAAAAAATGCATAAAATATGAAATAACACATATATCACCTTTAATTCTTACGCGTCATCCATTAATTAATTTGTCTCGATTAATCGGTTTTATAAATGAAGACTCGATAATAAGGCACAAATATAGATTACAATTATTAAGAGATGCACAAACACTTTAATCATTTGAATGGGAGGAGGCATAACAGGCCTGACCATTAAAATAGTCTCTCAGACCCTAATTTAATTTTCTACCTTTAGTTTGGTTTGATGATCCTCAGTCTAGTTTGATGTTCTAAGACTCTTTTTTTTTTGTTCAAAATTCTAAGACTCTTTTGAATAGATCAAGTTAAAGGCCCAATATATTTAAAAAATTTATCTAAAACTTTATAGAAAGCCCTAAATTAGAACAATTTTTTCACAGGTCTATGTAAATCTATATGTATATAAAGTCATAAAATATAACAAAACGTTCTAAAAAAATCTAAAAGTAACGATTTCTAACTTTAAAAATAACAATTTCTCTCAAATTTTTTTTCCAGTATTTTTTCCTCCACTCTCACCACCTCTTTCCAACTTTTTTTCTCCCTCCCATTCACATTATCTTGCTATGGTTCTTTGTCCTTATGTCTAACTCTTTTGCTTTCTCTTTAAAAATTCATTCAAATTATTCATCTATAAGTTCATGATTTCACAATTGCACCTAATTTATTATCTGATCCCACCCAATTCCAAAAGTACTAAAACATTGAAAATAAATGATATCGCAACTCTCTGTAAAACATCTAATAATAGTTAAAAAAATTATTATCTTCTTAAAATATTAAACGAGGTCTCATATAAAATTCTCACTTTAAGTCTTAATTTGTGTTGGACCGCTCTTGGTTCCACCAATAAGTCTGATGTGATGGGAAGCATTTGTCATTAAATTTTTCGCAATGTCATTTGAAGTTGTAAGTTATACTTCAAAAAAATTATAATTTAACCTTAAAAAATTATAACTTTCGGTATCAGTACCGCCGACGGTATTGTAGAAATCCCCATATAAATATGTGCTGTCAATTTGTCTTCAGCTTTTTAACATCGTCTGTGCAATGGCTTCATCTTTTCATCTTGTGCTATATAATTGGCGTTATTTAAAGGAAAAGTATAAGGAAGGAGAAAGCCCGTTGGGATTGGTGATTGGTTGTGAGTTGGAAGGAAAAGTAGAAGGAAGGAGAAAGCCCGTTGGGATTGGTGATTGGTTGTGAGTTGGGATGGGAAGACAAGCAAGGAGATATATGTTATGCTTGCAAGTACTAGTTTTGGATATTCTATGATTGTTAAGTCATTTTGTACATTATTTTTTCATTTTTACTGTTTTGAGAGTATTTTTGCAAAATTACAATAGTTGGGAATGAAGTATTGTGCACTATTTTTAGTTGAATTTTTGGTTTGTTTATGAAGTAAGTATCAAGTGGTTTAATCCCCTATAAATGTGATTATTTAAAGAAAAAAAGGTAATATTTTAACTCGGAAAATATTTTCTTAGGGAAAAACCATACTTTTACCGACTAAATTTTTGTTGGCAATTGAATTTTCACTTCACTTTTCCTCCATTTTTTCCTATGATTTACATTAATTCGCCACAAAATTTAAGGCAATTATTGGCGAAAAGTTTATTTGAAAAGACTTGTGCTTTAACTTAGAAAATTAAATTTTGTCGATAAATATTGTGTTTTTACCTAGAAAACCAAAATTTATTGCTAAGGGTTTGCACCCCATGGGCATCTTCCAACAACAGTGGGACAAACAATTTCCCGAGGAAAGCATTTTACCAAGGAATGTTTCACATTTACCTAAAAAAATTTTCTAGTTGAATCTACATTTTGTTGTAGTATCTTGAGGTGTGGTGCAACAATGTCACTCAGACTCAGTGTATGCCTTTCCTGACTATTCGCCTTTACAATGTGATACATGACTTTTGTTTCTACATACACTGTGCATCAATGAGCCTATTTACTCGTAGAGCCTTTGGTTTATTGGTGGAAGGAGAAGTCAAATCCACTCTTTTCTAGTATCTCCTTAATTTCTTGTTATGAGAACATGGGTGACTCAAGTCAATTTAAGATCTAAAGTGGGAATATTAAATGAAGGTTTTTTTATTTTTAGTATTATTTTTTTAAAAAAATTAATTTATTTTTAATTTTTTATATAAGAGGAAAAAAAAAAAAGATGTGTTAATGAGATTTCAACTTTTGTTTTTGTTTTTTACCACAAAAAGAGTTTAATTTTAACTTTTACTTTTTTTACCGGAGGGGGAGAGAGTGGATATGAGTTGACTTTTGTGTATTTTTTATTTTTTTAATTTCTAAGTTTTTAATGTTATGAATTGGATTATATGCCCAAAATATTGCAATAAAAAATTTGATTGAAATTAATTTTTTGGGACTTTTTTGTAAAGTTTAAAAGTTAATAGATTTAATTTTTTTGTGAGCTTAAACTAAAATTATGGGATCTTCTAAAAATTTAGGGCCTAAAATTTATATATATATATTTTTATACTGTTGGGCCGGCCCTGAATGAGAATAATATTTCGTCAGTCATATTAACAATCCTCTTTTTCAAATAATAACGATATTTTTTTAAGTTAAATTTCTATCAATGCAATAAAAGAAAAATCCCTTCCATTAATATCTAGAAAGTGCCCCTCTCTATCAATATGAAAACTCGTTGTCAATATATAAAGATTGTTTTGACATTAAAAACAACAGTAATAGCAGATATGACATTATAACTTTTTCATTGTTCTATGATGATAAATATTTAGCCTTCTAGAATTCTTTTTAAAACTTTCAAAAATTCGTGTTTTGATTTATATTTTTTTTGATCGTGTACAATTCAGCCTTAATTGATTCCCATGGTTTGTTGTTGATTGTATGTATACGACATCTATACTAAAACTATGAATCAAAGGAGTGTATGATTAGAAGGATTTTTGAATTTATTTTTTGTAGGTGAATCCAATATTTGTGAAAGCAGCTCAAAAAGAGTGGTATCAGGAACGGTTATACATGGCAGACCATGGAGTACACTGGCATGACCCACCACATGAGAAGATTAGGACTGAAAACTGAAACTTTTAGGTGGTGATAAGATGCTATTTAGGGACCTTTCATTCAACTTTGGCTTAATTTTCTTACTCATTAGTCTATATCATTGGAGCATTATTGACCAAGACAATGTAGATTTTGCAACAAGAAAAAAATCAGATTTTTTCTCCCATTGTTAGCACTCAGTGACCCACCAATGCTTACTTTTAAGCGAATAAATCCTTAAAGTCATACATCGCGCATAAAATTTGCACAAAAATTCTAGTTTATATTAAATTTTGAAAAGTCGAATAACCACGTAAATCCTTTTTTTCGTATAACATTATTGTCATTGATATGACTTTTACTGCCGCTACATTCGTTTGGTAAAACCAATCCTTGGAACTGCATATCAAAGCGTGCTAATAGAGTGTTGAATTAATGCTTTGATTCTAAAACATTCCAAAATACAATTATTTGAATTTTTTTATCAATGATTCGTTTTAATTTTTATAAAATTCAAATATCTCGATTGTTTTTAATGGAAACGAAACAAAATTTTGTTCAGCGACTAATTAAATGCAGAACTGTAAGTCGAATTGAGAGCTTTAAACCAAACTTGAGCTTGAAAGGATGCCTGCATAGTCTAAAGAAGATTAATTTCCACCATTTATACAACCCAAGCAAGGAACAACAAACCTAATTGCAGAGCACAAGAATACAACAAACCTAAGTATTAGTAATAATAATACTTAACGTATTTATAACAGAGCACAAGAATACATGAATTACAGTGCTCAATCTTTTAAAATGATGCCTCTCTGAAATCTCATTTTCAATAGACATCTCATGGTCATAGAGAATAGTACCACTTCTCTGCTCTTCTCTCCTTTCTCTCTCTCTCTCTACCTTCTATCTTCTGAACACATACCCACAACCCACATACACTTTTTTAAGGTTTTTTTATCTTCTTCTCTCTCTCACTCTCTCTCTCTTTCTCTCTCTCACCCACGCGCAGAGAGAAAATCCATGTTCACAAACACCTGGAAACAACCCACACTCGATCTCTGATCACACACACCAAAACCCATCAACCATGGGTACCTACGACAAATCTATCAGCAGTGGCAGCTCCTCATCATCCAAACCACCGGATCAGATCGACAGCCTCTTATCCGGTGCCGGGTACAAGGTCCGTTCATCGGAGCTCCGGACAGTCGCCCAAAGTCTCGAACGACTCGATAATGTCTTGGTCAACAACTACCTGGAGATCTCTCATCATCTTTCAAACGATGCCATTCACTACAACCCTTCGGATCTTTTCTCTTGGGTCGACTCATTACTCTCCGAATTCAACCAACCTGTACCCATGCCCGATCAATCAACTCTGTCGGATCCAGCTTATGTTAATACTCTAGTGGTCCCTACTTTGGATCCCACGGTGAATGCTGGGGTGTGGACAGAGCACCATGCAGCTCCGCAACACGGGATACAACAACAGTTAACGGTGGTAACGGCGATGGAAGAAGATCCCGGCATTCAATTGGTCCACGTGTTGATGACATGTGCTGATACTATCCAACGTGGCGAGTTATCATTGGCTGGGACATTAATTGAGAAATTACAGGATTTGTTGACACGTGTAAATACCGGATTTGGCATGGGAAAAGTCGCCGGCTACTTCATCGAGGCCCTAAGCCGGCGGCTTTTTTCAACGCTGCTCTACACAAACCGCTCGGTTTATGAGAGTGAATTTTTGTATCATAATTTCTATGAAGCTTGCCCCTACTTAAAATTTGCTCATTTTACGGCAAATCAAGCGATATTAGAAGCATTTGACGGTCATGATTGTGTCCACGTCATCGACTTTAGCTTTATGCAAGGCTTACAATGGCCAGCCTTAATACAAGCCTTGGCCCTACGTTCTGGTGGGCCTCCTTTTCTCAGATTAACCGGCATTGGCCCACCATCATCCGACGGTCATGATTCGCTTAGTGAAGTCGGACTTCGGCTAGCTGAGTTGGCTCGGTTCATGAATGTTCGATTTGTCTTCCGTGGTGTGGTGGCTTCACGGCTTGATGACATCAAGCCATGTGAGTTACAAGTCAATCCAAATGAAGCCGTGGCTATAAATTCAATAATGCAGCTTCATAGATTACTCAATTCAAATTCAACCCATAATTCATCAATCGATTTTGTTCTAGCATGGATTCGGAATTTGAACCCAATAATCATGACAGTGGTGGAGCAAGAGGCAAACCATAACCAACCGGAGTTTTTTGACCGGTTCACTGCAGCTTTGTACTACTACTCAACACTATTTGACTCACTTGAAGCTTGCTCGGCTCAGCCAGAGAAAGCCTTAGCCGAGATGTATATACAGAGGGAGCTATGTAATGTGGTGTGTTGTGAAGGCTCGGCTAGGGTGGAGAGACATGAGCCGCTGGCTACGTGGAGGGTTCGGCTAAGTGGAGCCGGCTTCAAGCCGTTGCAATTAGGGTCTAATGCATTCAAACAAGCCAGTATGTTGTTGACTCTGTTTTCAGCTGAGGGGTATTGTGTGGAAGAGAATGAAGGGTGTTTGACACTCGGCTGGCATAACCGGCCTCTCATTGCGGCTTCGGCTTGGCAAGCTGTGGCTGAGCCAAGGCCTCCACTTGAGCACTAAACCATTTTTTTTCTTTAATTGCTAGGGATGTTCAGATTAGATTAAGCGCACCTCAATTATTATCTTATCTGGTCCAATCAAAAACATACAATCCACGCTAGGATTAAGATATTAATAAGGGACAAATCATCTTTTGCTAATGTATTGTAAAACTTTGTAATTGAAATTGAGATTCACCATTTTCTTTTAATTTTTACCTAATAAGAAACTACTTTAGAGATATGTTGTTTTTGCAGTCACTTTCAATTTCTTATTTAGCGTTTGGTTTGGACATTTCATATGCCTAGTGAAAATTTAATAATCAAGTACCCACAAACTTTTATCATATCAACTTCAAAATTTGGATACTTGCTAGGAAAAAATACTTTAAGCTTTGGATTTAGATTTGCTCGTATTGATACCTAAAATACTTTGGATTAAAGTTGAGCTCGAGCGTTCAGCTCTGACCTTCCAAGCTCGAATCATGCAACTCATCATGGATGATCAGGGCAATTCAAGTCAACACCTCCTCCCTAACAACCACGCCCTAATAAGAATAACAAGGATGACAACTGGTTTTAACCGAAGCGCCACGCATAAATTGTAACTATCTTGTGTTTAGGTACAGAAGTCGCAATCGCCTCAGCACTATTCATGACAAATCACATAATAGGCGCAACCGTTACAAGGAGGAAGCAATGATCATGTCAGGAGATTCCTACAAAACTATAAATAAGAGACATATCCTTCACAATAAACAAAAAGCAACTAGCCTAAAGCAATACTCTATGTAATTTCTCCTTTTTTATCAATAAAATCTTTTTTAAGAGCAAGAGACTCTCTTGAGAATGGATTAGTCAAACTCCTAAACTGGTAAACCACTATAAATTCCTTGTTTACAATCTCATATTGTACTTGTTCAATTCTTAAGAGCATAGGAGCTCTGACTGTATCTTCTAATAATACTCTGACACCTAAAGGTTATAACTCTGCTCAATTGTGCAACACACACACTATCAACTCGGTTTCAAATTTTACCAATTTAAGTTCAATCTTAGTCGTTGAATAAATGGGCTCCATTGTTGGATTCTTATAGGTCATACCAATGACTAATTAATGGGACCTAATAAAATTAACATTAATGCTAGAATGACCAAATTTTGCAACCAAATATCTATACCAAATGACATAGCAGCTGACTTGGACTTATTTATTTGGTGTCATGTCATTTGAGCCCCAATAAAGAGTCTAAATAATATATTGCCATGTCATTTGAGATGAATATTTGATCAATAAATTTGATTAGTATAACATTACTCTAAAATTAATAATAAAAATGATTGAACTATTGTATAAATACAAACAAGTCCTTGAACTTCAATGCAGCAAAAGAGTTTGAAAGGGCGTATACCACAAATGCCAAGAACCTAAAGGGGTCAGTTGGAAAATGGTTTAGTTAGTAATGGGGAGATTGGAAGTGTAGTCCTTTTCTTTCTCAAGAAAAATGTGGGGAATGCTATGGCAAATATACTATTTATCGAGTTTATGAAAGAAATTTATAGGGTTTTGTTTTAAAGAAATTTAAATCATTTCTATTACGCTTTCAGTAAATGATAGATTGTTAATTGTGTGTATGTATGGATTTCATGTGAAATATTGGGGTTTGTACAATATTTAATCACTCATTTAGGGATGAATTATTGGATTTGATGGAGGCAAATTAGGGATGGGCCCACCCTCAAAAATTTAAAATATATATATTTTTATTTGCTAAAATATTTTTGAATGTAATTGATTGTGTCCACTAAAATATTTTATTATAAATTAATACTAAATGACAAATGAACATATATTGGCACGTTTTGAGTACGGTTAGATATATTTTAGAGGCATAAAAAGTCATTTCGTGAATGTTTAAAGAAAAGTTCAATTTTTTTTCGTTGAATCAAAACATGGATTATTACGTAATAAAATATAGAATCATATTGAAAATACATAAAAATCATGTGTGATAAAAACATATGAACTTGAAAAATTCGTTGATAAGAATCAATACGATCCTTATAAGGCGATAGTTGGTGATTATGTGACCTCTTGCAAGATGTGCTATATTTTTATTTGAGATTTACTTTTGCCAAGTAAAATCTTGGATACTTATTGCACGGGTGAATTCCTACAATGAATAGAGATAATGATCCGTTGGATGATGAACCTGAGACAATCAAAGGGCTAGAAAAAAGGTCGAGTGAACACCCGACTAATTACCTCCAAAGCTTAATGTATTTTCTCCGTTTTGTTTTCATACTTTTATTCAACTTTTGTATGGATATTTATACTTAAACTAATAATGATTAAGAGGTCTATAAGTCCCCTCTTAGCATTTAATGACTGACGCTCATATCCAAGCATAATGAGTGTAATCCAATCAAATTTCCTTAAGATTAACCCCTCGGGAGAATAAATTCGTGTTCGGGGTCCCCTGAGCGTTAACTTCCCCTTGTCGATCATTTGAGAGCCTCGGCTCGCTGCTTGACACCTATGCCCGAGTGTTAACTGTTCGGGAATAAGCACCTCGGGTCTTATTGAAGATAAATTATATTCGTAATGGCAATTAATGCTTTTCAATGATAACAGGCTCTGTGAGTCTCAAGGACACAGAAGTTTATAAATAGTCCTGTCGCAATCACTTAAGTCATCATCATTAAGCGGTCATGTCCTCTTTAATGATGGGTTCAATCAGTGTATGCTCGACCCTTCTGGGTCATAACTCATCGACTTTTTTTTCTGAAGTCCGTTAAAATTCCTACCGATTACTGTTCACGTGTCAACGTGGGATTGCTGAACCGCCTAGAGGCCTATCACTTATAATAATATACAAATTATAAATATCAATTAAACTCGAGAATCACAAGTAAAAATTAAATCTAAAAAATCCAACACGCCTGCGAGATAACTCCATACCATGGGGGCCATCGATTGACAATATTTCTTAGGTTTTTCATGCAGTATAGGTGTTAAACGGCATCAAAGCAAACGGACCCCTCACTCTCAGAAAAAATAATGAGGAGATGGCAATGGAATCATCACATGAGGCTTCTGTCCCCTTACAGTTGTCTGTCCGTTACGTGCCTTTCTTTTTCACACCCCCACTCTCAGAAAATTTTTAGTGCCCACCAAGTTACCATGTGACAGTGTTACATGATATATATCACTTATAAAATATTATGTATCGTACTTTTTGTTAAAAAAACTTGGATATGTTAATGGTAATTTTTCATTGAAGGTGAACGCATCACTTGACAATAACATAATGTGTCTGATAAGCACCAAATATTTTTTTCATTTTCAATTCCACACGGTTCAAGGTCCCAGTCAATTATCTCCTGTAATGAAAGCAATGCCATGTGATATATGGAGAAAAGTTATTTCTCCATTTCACTACTACATAAAACATTTCAACCTTTCCCTCTTGGTATACTCAAATGTTGAGAAGATATTTATTAGATCAAACCAACAGAACCCTTTATGACCAAAAAAAAAAAGGAACCCTATGCAATGTACGAAATTTACCACTCCACCCTGGCATCGGTCACGCCATCAAGCCCACTTCCACGCCCACCCCCACCAAGGTACTGATGAAGGCTAACTGCTTTTTGGAGCCATCATTCACGATATAAGAATTATCGCTACATGAGAGAGAGAAGAGAGCATTGACGTAGAAGTGTGGTTGCTTTACTGTATATTGTGCAAAAGGTATTAACACGTCTTATTCACATAAAAAGTTTACCTCTTTCACATATTACTGGTGGATACGTCCTATCCAATATTACAATTTTAATTAACTAAAATAAGTTCTCATATACATGGTCAATCTCAATATGTCTTGCTATGTCAGCTTATCATATCCAAATTTAAGTGTGGAAATGATTGTTTTAATTTTTTTATTTAATTATCTTTGGAAAATTACTTCACCAACGGGAGAGAAGAACGAGGAATCATGGAGAACAGAAAAGTGGGCTCTGCCCTGTGTCAGGCTTTTCAACGGATTCATGTGCCCCCGTTAACCCAACTCCGGACCAACTGGCTTAGGGGCCCACATTGGAACAATCAAACAGGGGACCACGTTGTAGGCCTGGGCTCATACCTGCTGGGCAACTAATTCTTACTCACGTGTAGATAGCGAGATCACAACTCACCTTTCACTTTCTATGTAAATTTGCTTTAAATATGGACTCTAATTGATTGGGAGATGGAGCCACTTATGCTGAGCAATGGGCCCACTCCGTGTGGGGGTAGGTTGTGGTCCAAGGGCCCTCTTTATTAAGCTGTCAGTTTGGGCTCAGTCAAATTCAACCTAATTCCTCAACTTGATTGTGGTCCATGTTCATTGTTTTGAATTCGAGTCGATGGACTATACAATAAAAGTTTGATTGTTGTTTACACAATTCAGGTGAAAATTCAAGTTAAGTTTGGATTTAACTCGAATTGAATTCTAACTTAAAAATCTCGGGTATTCAAGTTTAACTCGAGTTTAACTCTCTCAATCTTTGGAGCATGTTATAGGTTCAGTTCGGGTTCATCTACATGGTGCAATTTGAAAATCACTGCCACAAAAATTTTGAAAAAATCTGTAATGTATCATCAATTCAAATACAAAGCAAAACACTCATGTACAATTAGCTATCACATTTTTCCTACGGTTACTACCCCATATCTTTTTCGTTCTCTTCTAACAATAGAACATCAAATTCTTCACCTTAATTTTCAATGCTAGAACACTAGGACTATTCATCGTGTGATTGCAAATAATTGAATTATTTTCAAGAATATCGGGGATTCATTTAGAAACGAACTCGATGGGCTGTCGCTACATGGGCGTAGTAATGTGCAAGTGGCACTGCATCTGTAGTAACAGGTGAATGATGAAAGATTATTAAATTTTCAATTTATATTCTGAAAAAATTAAAATTTTTACATTGCACTTTTAATCAAACAAAAAGATATCAATATAATAAAAAAAA